CATCAGCGTGTGCAGCCAGAGCCAACAGGTTGTGCAGTCGGTTTCCGTGGTGGTGTCAATTCTGCATCTAAGGTCTTTGGTGTGATGTGGGCTGACTCTTCGGCCGTGAGTCGGTGCAGAGGACGGCAGTTAACAAGCTGCTGAACGAGTACGATGCGCAGAGAGGCAAGACAGCAGCCAAGGGGGACAACCACCCACAGCTGAAGGAGATGCAGAACTGGCTGAACAAGACCAGGCTTAGCAAGCCCGGCAAATACGCCGGTGAGTACCAGTACGTGTTAACCCAGTATGAGGTCATGCTGAACAAAGAGCACAAGGTACTGCAGCTAAGTGATCTTACACATGCCACTACCTTCTTTGCTTCAATGTTGATTGTGATTGATCCTCTCCGCCACTGCTGCCCCAGATCGACTTTGCCGACATGATCAACCTCACATTGAAACTGTGGGAAGAGTCACCCGAGGTGCTGGAGCAGCACAGGGGGCAGTACCGCTACATACTCGTCGATGAATTCCAGGTTTGACCCCCGTTGGCCGTGGTGCTTGGGTTCTAAGGCAACGAACAACGCCCCTTTCAGGACACCAACTGCAAGCAGCTTGAGCTTGTGCTCAAGCTTCTGGGACACGAATCTGGCCGCCTCACTGTTGTGGGCGACGATGACCAGTGCATCTTCGGCTTTCAGGTACGGCGTACACCTTTGTCGCCAGATCGCCGCGGCACTACGGCGCTCGCTCACGGCTTGCTCACTTACCGTACCCATTCTCGCGTTCAACAGGGAAGCGAACCCAGATACATCAAAGAGCTCGAACAGCACTTCCCCCCATCTCGATGCCCACAGAGCAAACATTTAAGCCAGAACTTCAGATGCACCCAACGAATCACAGAAGCAGCCGCCTCGCTCATTCAGGTTTCTCTTTCACTAAATCCTCGCACCGCACGCACGCACGCACGCACGCACCGCACCGCACCGCACCGCACCGCACTCACCCTTCGATCACATGAAGCACAATGAAGCAAGAGTGGAGAAGGAGATCAAGAGCACCAACCTCCTCGGCGATCCAGTTCAGGTTGTGCAATGCAGAGACGAATTTGATGAAGCCCTAGCGATCACAAGGTTGACTCCCTTCCGCACAATGTGGGCGCTGTAGGATCGCGAGTGGCACGCACAGCTTGTTGACCGTTCATGATGTAACGTCCTACTACCTTATTCTCACCCCAGAAAGATACTTATTCTGCGTGCGAGCGCGGTCTCTGCGGCCGATGTCGCTGTGCTCTACCGAAGCCAGTTCGTTGTCAAGGCCGTGAAGAAGCAATTCCAGGAGTACGTAACTCTTTGCTGCTCTCTAAGCTGCTTTCCTTGCTGCTCACCACTATGGGTGTCTGCTCTCTTCTCTCTCTCGCTCTCTCTCTCTCTCTGCCCCCCAGGGCGGGAATTCCGTTCTTTGTGATGGGCGAGAAGAGCCTGGGCGAAAGGGAAGAAGTGCGCGACGTACTGGCCTACCTGACCCTCGCTGTCAATCCAGACGACGACGGCGCGTTCATGCGGTATAGTGCACGCCCATTCTTTCTTCAATCGAGGCCATGATCTGCAGTGCTGGTGTATGTACACCATTGACCCTTGATCACAGGGTCCTCAACAAGCCCACGCGCGGTCTCGGCCCGAAAGCCGAACTTCATATCAAGCAAGCTAGGCAAGAGGGGGAGTCCTACCACTCGGCCTGTGAACGCATCAACGCCGGCAGTAAGGAAAATGGTGGCGGTAACGGCGAAGCAGAGCAACCAAAGTACTCTGGTAGCAAGAAGAAGGTGATGACAAGTAAGAAAGGCGGTGGCGGTGGTGGTGGCGGAGCTGCGTGGAGGAAATCGCTGGGCCGGTTCATGAGCCTGGTCCAGGGCCTGCGAGATTGCGCCGGCCGAGGAGGCCCCGAGGGGCTGCAAGCCGCCATCACCTACATTCTCGATGGCATCAACTACCGCCAGCATCTCTACAAGCTCGACCAACGGCTAAACAAGGAGAATGAGAAGAAGAAGAAGAAAGCAAAGGAGAAGGCGGAGGAGAAGGACACGGACATCGACGAGAAGGAAGAAGCGGAAACAAAAGAAAAAAGGAAGTGATGAAGGAGGGGGAGATTGCGCATGACGAAGGACGGGCCAAAGAGCAGAACGTGAGCGAGCTGGTGGCGCTTGCCCGCTCCTTTCAGAGTCCAGAGTCCAGCACCGATCACATCAGGGACTTCATCGAGTCGATCAGTCCGGACAAGGACAACGACGATAGCAGGTACGCACATGCATGCTATGAGCCTTTCATCATCAGCGTCATCATTGTCATCCCCATCACTAGCTCACCCAGACTGCCCACATCTCCTTTGCTGCAGCGCAAGTGAGCAGCAGCGGTTGAAGACGAGAAAGGCCGTGGCTCTCATGACCATCCACAAGGCCAAGGGCCTGGAATGGCCCATCGGTTCGTCCTGACCGCGCCTCGTCGTGTCTCATCTTCTTAAATATTTATTATTATTATTATTAGTATTATGATTATTATTTCAACCGTTTGGTTGTGCCTCACTCTGCGGCTTCAAAGTCTTTGTGGCGCGGTGCAATGCAGACGTGCTGCCAAGTCACAAGTCTGGAGATGCCGGAATTGAGGAGGAGCGGCGGCTCCTCTATGGTATGATCGTACCACTCGTTATCCCATCCGCCATCCCCCACCTCACTCTCGCTTGGCGCAGTGGCGATGACAAGAGCAAAGAAGGAACTCTTCATGACCTTCATCGATGCCAACGAACGCCAGCAGTCAGTGCACCCATCCCGCTTCATAGGTGCACATCCCTCGCTTCTTCTTCTTCTTCACTCACAGCTGTTGCTTACGCGCAACACCACAGGCGAGATCAAGCCTGCGTGCCTCACGAAAACGGTGAGTTTCGCTATTCATGGCGAGTTCAGCGAGCGGAAGCTGCACCCTCTCTGGCCAACCCCTCCCGCCAAGTGGAAACTGCCCGCACCTCCCTTGACGACGTCCCCTACAGCGACATCGACATCGACATCGACATCGACATCGACGGGAGGAAGCGGAGCGAGTCCGGACAAGAAGCGATCCCTCACCAACATGAAGCAGAAGGCGGATGAGCAGGAGGAGCAGGAGGAGGAGGGCAGCCCTACGAAGAAGTCCAAACGTGCTTCGCCGAAGACGAAGCAGCAGCAGCCCGAGGAGGGAAAGCCGCCTCGGCGGCAGACCAGTCTGCTCAATTTCTGGAAGTGAACACCCGCCGGTCACCACGCGCTACGCGGTGTGTTCTCGTTCACGCGATTGTTGTATTTGTTGTCATATTTAGCTACTTACACGGCGGCCTTCTTCTCGCGCGGGGGTACCGGGGGTGAGGGCCGGTTGCGGGGCGGCACGGTGGGGATGGGCGGCAGTTCGGCGTCGAGGAAGGGCAGGTCGGAGGGTGAGTTGATGCCGCCATCTTCGTCCGACGATCCGAACTCTCCGCTGTCGCCCACACCCGGTCGCTGCCCTCGCCGGCTCACGCGGATCGTCGCTCCTGCTCGCCATCGCGTACAATGCAATACGATCATTTTCACTCTCCACTTTCTCGCCACACACCGCACACGCGACACACGCCTATGCCACACGCCGCACGCAACACACGCCAATGCCACGCGCGCTCTTGTGCGAGATGGTACCTGAGTAAGGGCTGCCGATGACGCTGCCGCCCTTCCGCGACTTGCGGTACGAGGTGCGCGGAGGCGCGACGGGCTGGTTCAGGAAGTCGGGCACGCGAGGCCTGCACCCACACACACGCGCAACACCAGGCGGTCAGCCACGCCCATTCAACGCCGAAAGAGCAGGTGAGGTGTTGAAAGCGTACTTTTGAATGGGGCGAGCGGGCCGGGGTGGGCGCAGGGGCGCGTCCTCACCGTCGCCGCCGTCAAGGTTGTCGGCCGAGCCGCCGCCGCCATCGTTGTTGCTGGTCGACTCCTCGGTGCTGGGCCGTCGCGGCGCATCGACCGCGACCGTCGGTGGTGACTGCGCGGCTGCGGGCGGGAGCGGCAGCACTTTGCGCGGCACGGGCGGCAGCACCTTGGCCGGCGCCGAGTGCGACAGCGATGTAGCCGTTCTCGGGCCGCCGCCCGTCGCCACCGCCGGCGCCGGCGCGTAGGGCGAGAACGGCGGCGCCGACACCGAAATATTCAACTCCGACGCGGGCGCTGCAGGCTCGCCGAACGACGCCACGGGGAAAGGCGGCCTCGGCGGGGTGGGTCGTCGCGCCGCCACCGGCGGAGCGCCCGAGGGCGACGTGCCCAGGGGCGGCGACGACATGGTACTGTACGAGGGGGAGGTGGAGGGCGACGGCGTGGAGGAGAGGGGCGAGCTGGAGGGGAAGGAGGAGGAGGAGAAGGGCGACGTGGCCGGCAGGGGGGACGACGAGCCGCCCGCGATGGTCGCGTCTCCTGCCCCTCCGCCTGCGCGAGGCGGTGGGCGAGGCGGCAGGACGTTACCGGCCTTTGGATGTAGCGCCACTTGCGTGAAGCGCGGCGGCTGTACGAAGCCAACCAAAAATTGAAGTCAGTCGTTGTGTGTGTGTGTGGTCGTGCGCGTGGGCGTGCGGATGAGAGGGAAATGGGACCAGTGCGGTTTGTGCAGACGCGGAGTAGACGGAGTGGCCACGCGGTGAGGCAGGCGCGGCCATGGGCATGGCGGGCGACCGATAGGGCGACGACGGCGACGACCCCAGCGACGGCGACCCCGGCGACGCTGCCGACGGGCGCATCGTGGCGCGCATCATCACCGGCGGCGGCAGTACGTCGGCGCTCCCGGCCTCGGCCTCGTCGCGCAGCCCGCTCACCTGCGGCATGCCCCCGCGCGGCCCCATCGAGCCGTTGCCGCCGCCGCCGCCGGTCTCCTTCTTCTTGTCGATCTGGGTCTTGATGACGTTGATGTACTCGGTGAGCAGGAGGCCGATCTCCTCGCTTCGGTCCGTCGACAGCTTCAGGAGGCCCTTGTCTCGATAGGGTCCGAAGTCGAGTCCCACCACGCCTTGGCCTGTCAACCACAACACTCGTCAGCGCCACACACACACACACACACACACACAACGAAAGGAAGAAGAAGCGCACCGATGGCCCATCGCTTGATTTGGAAGTAGTTGTACTTCTCCACGACCCGGAAGTCGTTGCGCGGGTCCTTGAACACGATCTCGCGCGGTGTGACGTCGACGATGACGTTGTCGGGCTTCGCATCTTCGCTGAGCTTCCACTTGGCCATAAAGGTGATCGTGCCCCCGTCCTCCTCTGTGACAGAACACAAACCGACACACACACACGCACCACCGCACGCACCACCGCACACACACGTACACGAGCGTGTGATGATGTGCTCACTTTTTTCAAGAGAAAGCGTGCGATGTACCACCAGATCGACCCTCGTCGCCTTTGTGGATGACTGCCTTCGCGCCCTTGGCAATGTTCTTGATCTTGGAGCCGGTCATTGATCGCGCCAACAATCTGCGGGCGTGGGCCACCATGACGGTTCGTGAGATGTGCGTGAACGCGGGCCGCCTCCCTCACAAGGGCCTCTGCAGTCGGTCGGTACGTACCCTTCTTTCTCCGACTGGCACTCCTCGATGATGTTTCGGAGTTGGATCTTACGCGCGTTACGGAACTTGAGCACAAAGTCGGGCGCGTGGAACGCGGCCCTCTCCGCATTGACCACTATTAGGAGTTAAAAAAAGGCCACTTGACGTTACGAACATCGGACTTAAAAAAAAAGAAAGGGGGAATGCCCAACGTACGTTTGGAGAGGAACCACTCGCGGGCCTTCTTGCCCTTGCGGAGGTAGGGCGGAAAGGGGAGGCGGGGCTGGAAGGGGACGACGCCCTCCTTGCACGAGATGGCGAGCTTGTACCAGGTGCCGGGCTTGCCCTTGGGGTGCGCCACCGGGGTGACCACGATGAACACGTGGTTGAACTGGGAGCGGACCCACTTGGGCGAAAAGGGCTCGTTCTCGCCCTCGCGGAAAATGATCATCACCACGTCGTTACCCAAATGTCGCTTCCGTTCGACCTTTTTCGAAAGGAAAAGTGCGTAAGCGCACACACCACCGCACACACGCACACAAGCACACACCGCACACGCACACGCACACGCACACGCACACACAAGCGGACAAATATGCAGATAATGTTGGGGCGCACCTGTTGAGCGTCGCTGGGATAATACTGGAGAAGAGTTGAGACGTGGAACATGATTTCGCTGCCCTTGTGCTGCGTATGTACACTGTGCGTTCCAGTCGTGTTGGCTAAAGATACAAAAAGAACGAAGAACGAAGAACGGAAGAGTTACAAGAAAGAACGAAAGCGAACGAACGAACTAGTCAGAGACATTCACACATCTCTGTGAACAGATGCGGAACGGACCTTTGACGTCAAGGCCGCCTCTGTAGCCCTGAAAGCCCTCCAGCTTTATCCTGTCGCCCAAAAAGTCCAGAAACTCCTCAAACGCTGGACTTCCGTGCTCTGCGACGTGGACACGCCCAAACATGACAGCATAATGCAACGCGCGTTAGCTCAACAGCTTTCGGTAAGCCACGTCAGCCTCAACAAGAAGAAGGAGGTTGGCGAAGGGGTACCGTTGTTGTACATCTGGTCCTCCGTCGTTTGGTGTTCGCGCGAGAATAGCACGCCGAACTTGTAGTTGACCTGCACGTTCTGCTTCTCGTACGTCAACAGCTTCTCCTTCACCACCAGCGAGTCCCTAAAAGTATCAACGTTGTTACCAGAGTGTAAGTCGCGCCCGCGGCGATATTCACAAACAGTGTAACCAATTTCCAACGCACTTGATGCGATTGAAGCGGATGGGCTGAAGATAGGGTGCCTCCTCTTTGATCGCCTTGATCACCGATCCGGACTGGAAGAACAAAAAGAATTCAATTATTATGAAAAGAAAATAATAAATAATAAAAATAAAAAATATTGCTCTAACAAGCCCAAGCCGCTCGCAAGCAGAGATAGTACCTCGGAGAGCGCCCTCAGTCCAATGGTGACCCGCTCTTGGCCCTGTGACGTTGCACGGCATGCGGCATGTATGAGCGTTTGAGTTCGAGGGGGAGGACGGGCGTAGGTGTGAGTGGGGAGGGTGACGGTAACCTTCTTGGACCAGACGAGGGCCTTGATGGAGTGTTTTGTCAGGGGGACGGGCGGAGACGGCTTGGCCTCGCAGCAGATGATGACCGAACCGATGTTGTTCACCTCCTCGTCCTCCAACCGACTCATGTACACATAGTGTCCTACACACATAAATCGGAGTAGTTAGCCACCAAGCTATGTGCGTGCTGCGGTGCGTGTGCGGTGGTGTGTGTCGTACGCATGAGGTCTTCCTTTTTGTCGGGCGAGAAGAAGTACTCGCGGTAGTAGCACTTGTACTTGTCCTTTTCCACGAGTGGGAACCCGTCCTTCTTCAGCTGTGTCTGGTACTCGCCCTCCACCCCCTGTTCCCGCACGTAACCCTCCTCGTGCTTTATCTGCAGCGGCCACGGCTCGTCTTCCTCGCGAAACTACACACACACACACACACACACACACGACCGCACATGCACACACGCGTCACCGCACACGCATACAAATCCATCAACGCATTGGAGTGAAATGAAGGAAGCGCAGAGCGGACGCGAACCTGAACCCAGGTCTGCTGGGTGGTCTGTTCGGTGCGAAACCACTGTTCCTCTTTCACCTTGTCCTCGTAGCCGGTGAAGGCCACCATCGACGAGGGCACCTAGGGCGGCACACGTGATGCCATTTAAACGATTATTAAACGAATAAAATAAACAAAGAAACAAAGAAAAACAGAAAAAAAGAAAGCAGGCAGAGAGATAAGGTGACCGTCTGGTGTGACGGAAGAGATTTGTTGAAGCAAAATAGAGGAAAATACGAGGGTGCCAAGGCACTCAAGAAAAGAACGAAAACGACAAAAGAGCGAACGTTCAAAGAGGTAGGGGAGCGCACAAGAAACTTGGCCTTGTTGGTGGAGGAGAGGAGGGAGTTGAGAATGGAGAGCTGTGCGGATCCATCCATCTGCAGAGCCATGGGGTCCTCCTCCTCTCTTGTCGTTCCTCCGATGTGGCTCCCCGTGGTCGTAAACGCCCGCGGCCTCCCGCTGTTGTGCTCCATCTTGCCTGTCCTCTCTTCTAATATTAAATAAGAAAAAATAACAATGGGAAATTGTCATTTTTAATAAATGAATATCCTAAGAACACGCACGAATAGGATGGAAAGAAGAAGAAGAAGGGGGGGGGTGAAGAGCCGTACCCGTAAGTCTGCTTTGTATCGATCTCTCTCTATGTTTGTAGAATAACGAAAACGTGTGGAAAAGAGAAGGGAAAAGAGATCGATTGCCGCGGTGTCACTCCAGGCCGATGATGCGTAGACGAATCTTCTAATGCTATGATCTTGTTTTCGCGTCACCCGGGTAGCTATGCAGGCGGTGTCTCGTGTCTTCAAGGGCACTTTGCGGCTACGCAACGACGAGAAGAACGAAGACAGCAGAAAATGAAAAAGAAAATCCAAGAAAAAGGAAAAGGAAAATCGTGATGAATCACTTTTGTGCTCGGCGACCCGTACCGCGAGCTCAAGACCCCGAGCTCGTGGACCACTTCACCGCCCACTCAACTCCTCTTTTCCAAAGGAGGACCTGCCGTGTAGACCTTAGCCGGCGAGGTGTACCACTGACTGGTCCACGATCACAGGGCTTGCACGCATTCGCATTTTCTTTCTGGTGTTCACCATCGCCACTGAGCTCAGTGTTGTTCGCCAGCGTGGTCCCCCACCGCGTGGTCGCTGCCGCCGCTGCTGGGGACGAACTCGCGGGCGTGCTTGGCCCTCTCGATCCACAGGGCTCGTTTGGCCGCGTTGTTGCCTCTTCGTTCCCACAGGTCGGCGATGGCCTGGCAGGTGGCGCGGTCCACCGACTCCACCACGCCCTCCTTCTCCAGCTCCGCCACCACCCTTTCCATCTATCGCCACGTTCGTGTTGTGTGTGTGTGTGTGTGTTTGTGTGTGTGTGTGTGTGTGTGTGTGTGGTGAGTGCGATGTTGTTGGTAACGAGGAAAGGAGATGGGGGAATGGGAAACGCACCTCGTCGTCACGTTTGGCGCCTTTGATGGAGTCGATGATCCGCGCGTAGATGAAGGGCGTCACCCGGTGTTGCTGCGTTTTCATGAACCAGAACACGTCCAGCAGGTCGTGCAGCCGGTCCGCGGGGAGGCCCTTCACGAGCGCGTGAAAGAGGCGCGAGTCCGGCAGGAAGGTCTGGTGCTTGACCTGCTTCCACATGTCCACCACGCCATACGGCGAGCCTACGCACAACAAGACATGCGCGTCAGACATCCCCTTGGGTGCGTTGATGCTGATGACGACCAAACTAATCTTCGCAAGGCGCACCATGCTTTGTGAAGGCCTCGATGAGCGCTGTGTAGGTTTGCGCGGTAGGTCGGATCTCCTCCTGCCTCATCCTATCATAGACCTTCTGCATCCGCGCGAGGTCGCCAGCCCTGCCAAACCTGTTGTTGTCGTTGTGCGCCCACACATGTGTGCATCAGGAAGCTGCTCATGGCCTCTTTCAAGGGCTGCGAGAATACACGGGGGCCGATGTTAAGTACCCGTTGATGAGCGCGGTGTAGACCTGCACGTTGAACTGGAAGGAGGCGCCCCGTCTGAGCTCGTCGTAGATCTTGGCGATCCTCCTCACCTCACCCGCCTTCCCCAAGTGGTTGAAGATGCAGGTGTAGGTCTGTTCATTGGGCCAAAGCTCGAACTTGGGCATCTTCTCCTCTGTGGACCGCAACGCGCGGAGAAACAAAAAACAACAAAGGTGAGGCCCATGATGAGAAGAGTATATGTCATGCGAACGCGCAGCGGTTGCGTACTCAAGGGCTCGATCTCCATGTTGAGCGCGCGTTGCTCCTTCTCCTCCTTGAGCCGTTGTTCCTCCAGGGCCGCCTCATGCTTCATCTCTGCAAGGGTGCTAATCATTCGCTCGATATCGCCGTTGTGGCCCAGGCTGTCGATCAGCGTCGTATACGAGACAACATCGGGTCGCAGCCTCCGCCTAACCACCCAATTGTCAATCTCAGCTTTCAAATCTTTGTATCGAACGTGTGCGATGTGGTGCGTGAGTGCGTGCAAACATACCCTTCCACTGAGCGTGAGCGAGCCTTCATCTCGTGCCACAGGTTGAGCATATCCTTGATCTGGCCGTTACGGCCTAGGCTCCCGATGGTGATGGTGTACAGGTAGGAGTCCACATCGAGCTGTCCGGCCTTCTCCTTGTCCTTAATCTCGTCCCAGAGCGCCAGCAGGTCTTCGACTCGCCCGTTCTGTCCATAGGCCTTCATCACGCAGCCGTAGTTGAACGAGTCAAGCTTCTGACCGCTCGCCTCCATCTCCGCCTTGAGCGTCTTTACGCGATCTGCACATAAGTAGCAGAGCATGTCATTCTCTGACTCTGTCCACCAATGCCACGGTCGCGGATGTGCGTACCGATGTCGCCCATCCTCGAGAAAACGTTCATTACGGCGGAGAGCGTGCGTTGATCGGTTGGAATGCCCTGGGCTCGCATGTCTTCGTAAATGTGAAGCGCTTGCTTCATCCTATTCATTTTGGCGCAGGAATTGATGAGCGAGTTGTAGATTATGGCGTCCGGTTTCACTGTTGACACACACACACACACACACCATACACGTATGTGAGTCTGGGCCTAGACAGTCTCACGGTCGCTCTTTAAAAGTGGGTAGGTACCTTTGGCGGCCTTGATCTTATCGAGTACGAGTAGTGCCTGCTTGAGCATGCCTTGATCTCCCAGTGTGCCGATGAGCCACGTGAAGAAACGCATGTCGATCGATTTGATGTTGTATGAGTGGGCTCTCCCTCTTTTGTCGAGCTTGTCCACGAGCCAGTAGAGCTTCGTTCGCCTCTCCGATTGGTTGGTCTCGGCGCGGATGGCCTTGATCTCCTTCTCCAGCTGCGGGTCTGGAGCGCCCGATGCAGCGGGTGCTGGCCTGGTGGGCAGGTAGGTGAGTCTTGTGAGCGACTATCGAACGACGAGCTTGTATATGCAAAAGGTTTGATAAGAAGGCGATGTGCCGTACTCACTGCCCGGTCGCTTGCCTTTTCCAGCCTTAGCGCCAGTGCGAGAGCCGCTCGAACTGTATGTGGGACTGTGCGGCCGAGTGAGCAGCTTATATGGCCCACAGTTGCGAACTCACAAGTGGAGAAACACGTACGTGTTGTGGTGCTGCTTGTTGCCTGGCTTCTTGAATCCTGCTTTGTTGTTGGGCTTCGTGGCCTCCTTCTGCTTCGTGGCGAGGAACCGACGTGCGCAACCACTCGGCATACCAGTAGTGGCAGAGAAGGGGGTGAAGAGAACACCGGAGGACGAAGAGAAAGGCGAAGAAGCCCTGGCCTCTGCCCGATACGCTGAGCGTCCCATAAGAAGTGTTGTCGAGTGCGCACCAGGCATCTGTGTAGAAATAAAAAAGGTCCGCGTTGAGTCCAAGCCGGTACGCAAGATGAGGCTCAGAAAAAGGAGAGATTTGCAACCTTGCCACAAGCGCCAAGACGCGGCAACGCCATGTTGGACTGCAGCATAGTGTCTAAGGGTGCGGACAAGCGGGCTCGGTGGATTGGCCTCATCTTCATCTCGCTCCTCCGCTCCGTTCTGTATTTTTCTTTTCCACCTGTTTTCTCTTTTCCAGCGACTTGGGCTGACGTCAGCAACAGAGACAACATACAAGAAGAGTTCTTGTTAATCCACACACCGCATCCACCAACACCATGTAAGGCCCTTCCCCTTCGCTTGCTGAGGGACATGGAACAGAACAGGAGACACCACATCAAGAATTAATGTAAATGGAATCATTTCCTTTTCCCATCAGGTCTGCAACCTCTTCGGCTCCCTCTTCGGCTCCCTCCGCCCCCGCCGCCAGCCAGGCCAAGGTGACGTTCAAGATCACGTTGGCTTCTGACCCGAAGCTTCCGTACAGAATCGTGAAGGTGCTCGAGGAGACGCCCTTCACTGCCGTCATCCGCTTCGCTGCCGAAGAGTTCGACGTTGCTGCCAACACCTCTGCCGTCATCACGAACGACGGCACTGGCATCAACCCTCAGGGCACGGCTGGCCAGATCTTCCTGCGACACGGCAGCGAGCTGCGTCTCATTCCTCGCGACAAGGTGGGCCACTGCTGATGCACTCCATCCTGCTCTGTACGATTTTTTCATCCATGCTTGAATCGCCAAGATTTTATACACCAAACATCTGATTGTCCCTCAGCTTCTGGATAACCTTCTGTCGCTCCTCTTCTCGCTTTGTCCAAGCCCGAATGCCCAGCACTCGCTTGGCCACTGTCCGCTGCACCGTCATGTATTTCACAACGCATCGATCGACGCATGAGCCCTCGCCCACCGTAAGGTCTTTGTCCCAGTAGTGCGCGATGCACTTGTCCCAACATCGCCCCAGCACTCTGCAGAGGCCGAGATGAGTTTTTTAGAGAAGATGAATTGGAGGATTAAAGATCATGCGGCGGCACATACCGATTATAAAGGTCCATCTGTATGGTGATGAATTCGGAGGCGGCGAGCACGTCCTCCCGCTCCTGCTCGCTCATCCCCGAGGGCATCGGCTGTCCATTCATGATCTTGAGTTACGAGAATTAAATAGTTTATTTTAATCTTCAAAGATCGTTTATTTACGGAACGGTTTCTGTCCCGATCACGCACGCCTGATGACGCCAGTACGGCCAGCCGAAAGAGGGTGGCCTTCCACGTTTGGACAACGCGGCCTCTTGGTCAAAAGGCAACGCGGCCTTGTTGTGCGATAAGAAAAATAGAACACTGGCACCCCTCCTGATGAAGAGTAGCCTGAACTTTGCAGTGTTGGTGGTGCTGTCGCTCGCTGCAGCCTCCACTGCCGCACTCCACGTTGAAGTGGACGCCAAGGAGCAGTTCTATGCTTTTGTGGGTCGGTTCAACAAGAAGTACGCCAACGACAACGAGTACCAGCAGCGGCTCGCCGCTTTCACTCATAACCTCGCTCAGATTGAGGCATTCAACGCCAAATATGGAGTACGCCCCTCCCCCTCAAGTACAGTCTCCTGCAGAACCGTGGTGATGTTAGCCCTCTAACTTCGCTGCAGGAGAAGACGCAGTTCGGCATTACACAGTTTTCGGATATGACGCCCACTGAGTTCAAGGAACGAGTGCTCATGAAGAAGCCTGGCTTCCCCGTGGGCCAAGGAACACAGGCCAGCCCAAGCCCCTTCCCAACCCCGGTAGTGATTCCAAAGACGTTCGATTGGCGCAACAAGACCGGCATTCTGACGCCGGTGTACGATCAAGGGGACTGTGGCTCTGGGTGGTGCGTTTCTCTGTGCGTGTGGCGGTGCTGGCGCACCCTCGTAGTCACGTCTACGCGAGTCCGAAGTGTGAGACTAAGCCTTCTACCCCCTCCCTCTGCAGGGCGTTCTCTGTGGCTGAGAACCTTGAATCTCTGTGGGCCATTGCTGGCCACGGTCTGATTCCTATGTCTGCGCAACAGCTTATCGATTGTGCTCTGGCCGCTTCAGGCTGCGATGGCGGTATCTCCAACGAGGGCTTCGAGGTATGGATCACCATTCGCCTTGGGCTTCTCGTGCGACCTTCATTCACCGTCACCCACCACAACCGCTACTATCAGTCGATCATGAATGCTGGCGGTCTGGAGAGCGCAGCCTCCTATCCCTACACGGCAAAGACTGACCGCTGCTCCTTCAACTCAAGCGATATTGCGGCCAAGATCTGGGGCTATATGCTCGTCACCCGCTTCGGCAGTGAGCCTATAATGGTACCCATTTGGCTGTCCCCTGCTTCTCTTGTCCTCCCACCCTACCGCACTGACTGCTTGCTCATAGACCGGCTTTCTGTCCTACCTGAGCCCCATCACGGTGTGCGTTGATGCGTTCAACTGGATGTCCTACACTGGCACGAACCTCATCACCAACCACAACCCTTACCATTGGTCCCACTCACGCCGAACTTGAGTGCGTGTGCTACAGGGGGCGTCTTCCCGGCCCAGGGCTGCGGCACTGAATTCAACCACTGCCTGCTGGCAGTCGGGTACAACCTGGAAGCCAACCCGCCCTACTGGATCCTGCGCAACTCGTGGGGAGACAAGTGGGGTATGTCCAATAATCCCCCCTCACTGAGAGAAACTGGAGCAGCAGCAGTGGTGGAGCTTGCGGCTCACTGCTCCCGTGACTGTGACTGTCGTGGCAGGCATGAAGGGCTACATGTACCTCGAGTTCGGCAAGGACGCGTGCGGTGTTGCGCAGAAGTCCTTCTCCGGACTCAACTTCTAGGTCACCACTGTTGGAGGAGAGAATGCAGATGCAGATTTCAGCTTTCAATGTTTGTGATGATGTTGTGAAACAGCAGGCACTGCGTTGTGGTATCACAGCTTGGCCGCCTTTGGGTCGTTGATGATCGAGTTAAGCCAATGCAACAGCGCGCGGTTGACCTGTTTATGACGCGCATCAGCGCGGTAAGAACCAGAGCCTTGGGTGACCAAGTGCTGTAGTGAGTCGGTCTGTACCTCCTGCGGATGCTCCTGCTGCGTCCAGTGAGCGCACTCCTCAATGTGGTGCCTTGACAGCCTCGGGATCTGGATGGGCAATTGAGGAGCACGGCCTGGACGTGAGCAATCGTGTGCATGCTGGATGGTGGGCCGGTAGGTACCCATCGCTCCATGTGCTTGCTGGCCGAGGGAGGCAACACTCTGTCCTTGCCCGCTGTGACCATCAGGCATGGCTGAAGAATCTTGTGGCTCGCCTGTGCGCAGTTCCACCTCCAGTTCTTCTCCACATTCCTTGAATGGTTTCCCCCGCAGCTCATGAGCCAGATCATGCGCGCTCATGCAAAAGAGATGGTGATGGTGGCCTGCACATACCGATACCAGTTGAGCCCTCCCCGAAACCCGCTCTTCTTGAAGGTGTCTGCGTAGTACTGGAATTCGGCTGGCGTGAACATCACGCTGTACTTCATCTTCTCCTTCGGCGGGAAACCGACCAGCATGCCTCCTGCAGAGACAATGAAAGTTAGTAGCGGCGCGTCAGTCTCAACTGCGGTGGTGTGACGCACCGCGCTCGCGGACATTGGCGGTGGAAAGGCGCGTCTTGGCCTCCAGCAGAGGTGCCATGTCTGAGGGGTGGCTCGACCGAATGAGGCAGGCCAAGGCGTACTCCACGTCCCTTTCAAACTCAGCCTCCGCCACTCCCTAGTAGGGGAAAAGTCCATTCATTTCGATCGGATGACGGAATCAGATTACGTTATCGACCACGTTACGTCGTACCTCCTGCATGAAGTAGAGCTGGTAGTCGTAGTTGCCGGGCTTCTCGGTCATAGCGGTCAGGGGGTTGCGCTCCGGGTTTGGCGGATAGAACGGGGTGTTAAGCGCCGCGACGCCCAGAACGCGGCTTGAATGATGCACGGCCATCGCCCAGACCACCGCACCTCCCCTGCGTCGATTGATTGATTGATTGATTGATTGAGGGAGAGGGTGAGTGAGTCATCGCGAGGAGGACAACGTTATGCCTGCAGGTGCCGTGGGCGACTACCAGTCGTGGCCGATGAACACTGCCTTGGCGATGTCCAGGACATCAAGGAGGGCGACGAGATCTCCAGCGACCTCCTGCAAGCCGTAGGCCTCGACCTGTGGACACAGGCCACCACCACTTCTGAGAATGGCCGCGTGGCAGTTCGACAGTGAGCGGTCCTACCTCGTGAGGACCCTGCGACTCGCCAAAGCCGCGCAGGTCAGGAGCGATCACTCGATAGCCTGCCGCACCAAGCGCCTTTATCTGATAAAGCCAGAATATCTTGGTATTATTACAATGCCTGCTGAAATAATAATAATAAAATTCATAAATGCCATTATTGTTTATTGTTTATTATTTCAGCATTATGTATATGTGCGTATATATATAAATATATGCAATAAAATAATTGCAAAGAAGCAGGGGTGCGGTGCCTGGTGGCGCCAGGTGAACCAGAAGTCGGGCCAGCCGTGGCACAGCACGAGGGGCGGCAGCTGCCGTGCACCGGAGGCTTGCGAGCCACTGCCTGCGCTGGTGGTCGTTTGGGTCCACTCCACGAAGTGCAACCGCACGCCAGTAGGCAAGCTCACGTAATGGTGGGTCACCCCCTCCATCTTCTTCCTCTCTCTGGGTGGTTCTACGCTGTTGTTAGTAAAGGGGCAACTTTGTTGTCGACTGTGCTTGTGTGGCAAAGGATGTGAGTTACAAGTTCTTGAGCTAGTCGTGTGTGTGCGGTGGTCGTGCACAAAAGGAATGTTCTGTTGGCGAGCTGCGAGGTGGTCGCACCTGGACACGCAAAGCAGTGCCATGAAGAGGAGGAGGGAGAGCAAGAGCGGCCGAGTGTGGTGGTCTAGTAGTCTTCCTGGATGAGGAGGATTCTCTCCTGGTTGACGGGCAGGTCCTCGCCCAGCAGGTAGGGGCGGTGCTGCACCATGGTGAGCATGTCCCGTGCGGAGATGGTGTTGCCCTCGGGCTGATTAAATACAGTGTGTGGCGAGAAGGAGCGAGCGGAGGCGGTGGAGGCTGGTGATGTTGTGGTAGAAGAGGCGGCCGTTGCGAGTCCTGATGGTGTGAGCGTTTTCGTTCGCTTGCACGCGTCAAGAATGTCCTTGAGGTGATGCTGGCGTAGAGAAGATGATGAAGAAGAAGATCAGTACAAGAGTAACCAAGTGTATCAATGATGAAGGTGTTTAGCTGAAGGGTACCTCCATGGCGTGTGTCATGAGGTTTACGGCCTCGGGTGAGATTTCGGTGAGGCCGGCTTCGGTGGCTATTTTGTACATTCGGTTGCGTAGCGCCCACGATGACGGTGACGTCGCGCCGCCAAAGTCGTGAGCCAGGCGCAGGTGATCTGTTTGGTGGTGGTGGTGGTGGTGGTGGTGGTGGTGGTGGTGGTGGTGGTGGTGGTGGTGGTGGTGAGCATGCGACACGCCAAAGCTGAGGCTCAGATTGAAAGAAGATGGGACGCACCGCTGCCAAGCTGACGCACGACAGGCGAAGGCCGACGAGGAGCGACTCGCGTACGGACGATGCTGGAGGCACCGGGAGCGGCGGCTGCCTTGGCCGCGGCGGCAGCGGCAGTCTTGAGGCGCTTGGCCGAGGGCGCACCCGCAGCTGCATCGCTCTCGCGCTTTAGGCCGCTCGACGGCACCGCAAACGACGGCACCGCGTTGTAGGCATTGCGGATGAGAGACCTGATCAAGTGGTTGTGCAAGGCCACTGTCGAGCCAGCAAGTCAGCATGGCGAAAATCACCTAATGCAAGATAGAAATTTGGGGGGGGGGAATTGTACCGCTCTCCTGACGCCCTTCGAGGATAGCATAGATCTGGCAATCGAACTCGTACTTGGTGAGCTTCGCAGCAAGGAATGCACGAAGGCACGTCCAGTAATCATCTGCCGTTTCCCTCGAGAGATTGCCAAACAGATTGGCCTTGACCTCTTCCAGATCCACTCGATCCATCTCTGATGGAGGGGCTTCGAGCCCCTTTGGTGCGTAAAGAAGGCCGATCAAGCCAAGGGGGGCTACTTGCTATCCACCAACTTCCAATTCCTAATTTTTAAAATTGACTAAATCTTTCCTTTTGTTTTTAGCAAAGGAAATGCGGCTAAAAAAGTTAAACAAAAACTAAATAATGAGTACAGACGTGCGACAAGCGATGGCTTGGCACGCGAGAGGTTCGGGCTCCGTGCGCGTGCACCTGCCCCCACCAAAGTCACCATCACCCTTGCGACCAGTACCACAGGTCGTTCTCCATCTTCTCAGGCTCCTCTCTTCTCCGTGCAGTTGAGTCACCGCACGAGTTCACGGCTTGTGGCTTTCTTCCGATCTCTTTTGACATCACATGCAGGCGTCATGGCGGCCAACAGTCTCCAAGCGGCAGATGCTGCTGGCGGTGCTCGGCCTGGTCTGGCTACTCATAGCTTGCGTTTGGCTCTATACCTACTGTACCGCGCTCTTCGCTTTCGTTCTTTTTTTTGCCGATTTATTTATTTTTAAGTACAATAGAAAATCTAAAATAATATTTTTTTAAAAATAAAATACAATGTGGCAGCGACACGGGTCAGCAAAGAGGCCAAAGACGAGGAGACCGAGGAGCCGGTCTTGGCCTTTCCGTTGGTGCTCAAGGGCATGCACAACGTCAACCGCGCCTGCGAATCCCTTCTTTCTCTTACCTACAACTCTATGCAATGTACGTGGCCTCAACCGCTGTGCATGCGTGCGTGTGTGCGTGTGTGCGTGTGTGCGTGTGTGCGTGTGCGTGTGTGCGTGTGTGCGTGTGTGCGTGTGTGCGTGTGCGGTGGTGCGTGAGCATTATTGACGCCCCACTTTCGAAACAGCTTTGCACAAGGTGAAGAAAGGCAAGACAATCAACGTGATCACATCGTCAGACCAGAAGTACATGCCGGGACTGATTGCCCTCATCAACTCCACCATCGTACCACCCGCCCGCCCGCCCTCACTCTTTTTCCCAGCGTTCCGTTGTGTAGGCTCACGGCTTGTGTGTGCCGGTGGACAGGTGCACACCAGCAACCCGTTGGCCTTCTACATCGTGGCCGACGCCAAGCCCGAACTCCACGAGCAGTTCCAGGAGTTCCTTTACTCGCTCTTCCCGAAGGGCCGGTTTACCAAGCAGACCGTTTCCTTCAAGGCAAGCTTTCTTCTTCACCACACGTCCAATTCACCCTACTAACCATGGCCACTACAATGACTGTGTGCGATGCGTGCGTGCGGAAATGCAGGTCGTGGGGTTTGACACGGCGCGGGTTGCAAAGCTCATCAAGACCTACCCCAGCGTCATGAATGACCCCAAGATCCACGCCAACCCCAACAACTACGCCCGTTTCTACTTCCATGAGATCTTCCCCGAGTACGTGTGTTCTCCCCCCCCTCTGGCGGACGACACGGGTTCTCACGAACACCCCCCCCCAATAAGGCTCTCCAAAGCAGTCTACCTGGACCCGGACACGATCATGCTGGGCAACATCGCTGAGCTGGGAACGATCCTCGACCACCAGGTACTGGTGCTTCCTCAGTCCACCTCTACACGGCGATTGAAGAGGTGAGACCTTGGATGACGAAGTTGCGGTCGTGTCGTGTGCCAGGACGAGTTTTTGTATGCAGTGGCGCAGGGCTTGCCACACACCTACGGAGATGCATTTTATTGGAAGGCAAGTGCTCTCCTTCTTCTCTTTCTTTCGCTTTGTCTTTCTGGAACTCTTTGACACGTTTCGTCCAATGTTGATTTCAACAGTCGCCCATCGTGCAAAAAGCCTTCGACAAGGATGAACCCTACTTCAATGCAGGTGTGGCGGTCATCAATTTTGACAAATGGCGAAGCCAGAACGTGACTGGTACGATCATGCGCCAGCCTTTTCATCCACCCCCTGCGCCGTTCCTTTCCCGATAAGAAACGCACCCTCACGCGAACTCGAACTCGCGGCGGTGACCACAACAGGCGTCGTCGAGCACTGGCTGGCCCTGCACAAGGAGCAGAAGCTCTGGTCTTGGGGCACCCAGCCACCACTCATGGCCGCCTTCTACCGCAACTTCCACATGCTCGACAGCTCCTGGAACGTTCGCCACTTTGGTATTCCCCCCCTTCGCTCTTTCTTCGCTGTCGTTCTTTTTCTTCTCTCTCGCTCCTATTGCTGATGGTGGTGGTCTCTCCGCGCAGGAGCGAAGGGCATGGTGCCACCGCTGGTCGAGTTCGTGCGGGCCAAGGTGCTGCACTGGAACGGAGCCAACAAGCCGTGGAGCGCCGAGTGCCGGCGCGACTCGACCTGCTTCCGCTCGTGCTGGGCGCCCTTCTACAACCACACCCTCATCAAAGAGCTCCTCGCGGCCTCTCCGGACCTCGCCTCCCACTACTCCTCCCTCCTGCGCGCTGTGCCCTGATGAAAAAGAGAACCTGGTCGGAGTTAAAACCTGAGCGCTCGCGAGCTCTTCGTTCTTCTTCTCTCTTTAGGCCTTCCACACGGTGAGTCGGCCCTTGTCGTCGTAGACAGCCTCGGCGCTCTTGGACCAGAAGCGCGAGAGGGCGAAGGAGCACGAGATGGGGATGGTGCCGTTGAGCTCCTGCATGGCCTCGCACACAATGCGCTCCACCATCTGCGCCTCGGCCGTCCAGTCACTGTCCTCGTCGATCTCCACCAGAATCTGGTGCGCATGCGACTGAGAAACGACGCAACGACTAAAGCGAGCGTGAGGTAGGGCCGTACCTCGTCATGAATGAAACCGATAATGCGATAGCCGACCATGTACAGATTCCACATGGCGAGCTTGGCGCCATCCGCAGCCAGGCCTGTGCGAGTGAAGGAGAGAAGTGTGAGCGAAGCTCGAAGCTTAAGAGTTGTTCATGGGAGCAAAGAACCAGAAAACGGAGTGTTGCAGGCTTGGGTGAAGGTCACGAAGCCGCGCACCCGGCCCGTGAGCGTCGTGACGCTGCTACCGAAGATCCTGAAGCAAGCAAGCAAACCCATCTTGTTAGGATAGTGCCCGCTTACGCGAATTCAACGATAGAGAGAGGAGGCGAACCGGCTGAAGAGTTTGTCGCTGCCGACGTTGTTGCTGGCCTCGATCATCTTGCTGATCTCGGGATTGTGGCAAACGGCCTTGATCCCCTCCCACACCTTGTTCTGCCACTCGACGTCGCTTTTGTGCCTCTCCGTCAGCTTGAGCGTGCGGCCGCGGATCAAGTTTTTCACCGCATCTGCGTAACGCCACACATGGAACACGCGTGGTCGCATTAATCTTTTGTCCACCCCCACCCTCATTGAGTAGTGTGGCATGCGTACTGCTCATGACTCGAGGAGCCTTGAGAGCCAGCGCCGGAATGCACTCTTCCCACGTGCACTGCAGGTTATGCGCCACCACAGCGAACTCGCGCTCCCGCAGATACTTGTGCAGCTCGGGGTAGACCTCCTTGGTCAGCCGCTTCTTGAAAAACACCGCCTCTGCAGGCCGCCCGAACACCACGCGCACCGTGAGCCCCGATGGGGCCGTAAAATGAAACGAAAAACGAAACCGGCGAGTACCTGGGTAGCTGAGCTCCACGTTGTAGGCCGTTTTGGCATACTCCTGCAGCCCGCCAGCTGACAACCCGCCAGGTATACCGAAGTTGATGGCCTAGTAGCGGTGTTGGGTTAGCGCCTGTGGATGATGGCGAATAGACGACGGCGTGAAATACCTTGGCTCTCTGTCGGAGGGTCGTGAACTTGGTGCGCAGCTCGCCGTCAGCGCTGTCCTTCCACGACATGAACTGGGCCAGTTCCACGCCCTCGAACATGGACGCCGTGAAGGAATGCGGGTCCACGCCCTGTACGCAGCAGCCGGTAAACCACAATGGTGAGACCACCACGCAATACTACTCTCCAACGCTGACGATCGAATCAAGGTAGCTTACCTTGCGAATGACCTCGGCTAGGTTGGAATAGCCGTAGCGCGCTTCGCACACGGAAGCGAGCGTGCACAGCTCGATGAAGTCGTAGTCGACGGAGAGGATGAGGCGCCCCTCCGACGCTCGAAACATCTCGCGGAACCCGCCCTTGCGCGGCGTCTGTTGAATGGCAGGCCCACCGCACGAGCTCCGTCCGTTGCGCACCATGACCGTGTACTCGGGGTGAGCAACGGGCTCCTGTATGGAGGACACACCGATCACCGACTAGTCAGCTCTGTACTCACGCATATACTGGAACACTGGTCTAACTGTACCCGTAGATGGTCGAGGAACGCCAGGTGACGCGACGCCCGGTCCATCTCGACCCAGCTACGGATGAAGGGATGATACTCGGCATATTGCAGCCTGAAGCGAAAGCAAACAGACACGCGCGGGTCAGTCAAAAGGCGTCGTCAGCGGAGCGAGCGACGTCCACAGCGTACCAGGTCTTGGTGGCGGTGGAAAAGGTGTTTCGGATCGCCGTCTTAGGCACTTTGACCGATACATCGTACATGCTCTTGATGTCTTGGCGTGCCTGTGCACCACAACAAAGGCCGTACGGCGGTTGGGTGAGCAAGATTGCTTTGCAAACGATCAAACGGCCACGTCGGGTTAACGGCATGTTGATCTCACCTGAGTCAAGATCTCCTTGAGCTTTTCCTGGACGATACTGGGCCTCTCCGAGTTCTCAAGCAGCTTCGCTGGTGCTTCGTCGCCATCGCCATCGTCTTCACCGCCATTCTCCGTCTGGTGTTCTCCGCTGGGGGGAGCGCCCGGTTCGCCTTGGCCCTCCCGGAACTTAGCCTTCTTCTTGTCCTCGTGAAACATTCCTGCGTGCAGGACGTGGGAATGTGTCAACACTGGGTAGGTCTCGGTATATAAATCACCCAGAGCTCAACCTTCAAAGTCCGGGTTCTCAACCAGCTGGGCAGTAGCGTCGTAGAGCTTCTTCTCATAGTATCGCTGAATGCGTCGCGCTTGATCGATATCGACGGCCATCCTAAAGATATTCGCCAAAGTGTTGCAGCACTTTAGCGGTTTGGCCACACCCTTTTTCGACGGACAGCTCGTACCCGTTCCTAGTCACGTCGGCCAGGACGATGCTGGCCTTTACCTGTATGCCCTCGCTTAGGGGTCCGTAATCCTGCAGCACAGCCAGACACCACATGGGCCACGTTTAGATACAGCCCCAGTCGTCAAGCAGAGGGATGGCGATTGCACCTTCATGGTGTTGCTAAGAATCTCAGCGCGGTGTGGCGTCATGATCCTTGTGGCCAGGTTGTACATCTCGGGATAGGCGAGCGCCAGCAGCTTCACGTCCCTCACAGCGTCTATGTACATGAGGTCGATCTGTTCCTCCACGTCGACCTCTTGCGCTCTGTGTTGTGCCCACACAAGAAAGCGATGTCAACTTCGACCACCATACGTGCGCTCAACACGCGGACAAGTGTAGGAGGCTGGTGATGATCATCACCACAGTACCCGCTATTTACAGGCGAATAGTATCGCAGGCCTCGTGGCCGTGAGGGGCGGAGGATCTCCTCATCTACCACGTCCTGCGGGAGATAGTCCTGCAGCAATACGTTGAAGTCCCGTGGCGACGGCCAGATGTCGTCCAGGCCCAACCTACGGTGTCACACCGAGCGAGAGGAATTCAGAGACCGGTGCGGCTACCCTTTGTCGATGGCGCTGCATGCGTAGCGTACCTGATAAGTGTATCCAAGAATCCTGTGTCCCGAAGACGTGTGCGATTGGCGATCTCCCACCACCACTGAAGCGCGACTTCTTCCCCTGTTGTGTGATCATCATGGCGGTGTGCAGTTGATAGAAGCTGAGCCCAAGGGTCGGCAGGAGGAGGTGGTGGTGGTGGTGAAGGAATGGAATGGATACCGTTGCGCTCCAGGAATCGCTTGACCAGGTGGAAGTCGACCGCAGCATCGTGGCACACGAACATGTATGTGCTGTGTGCCACGATGAACGCCGCCAGCTCTTGTGGTCCGTCCATTATGACGCAGCTCTCGCCTTTGTGGAGAAGGAAATATAAGATGACGACAAGCAAGGAAGCCGGTGCCGCTGAAGTACCGTTGCTGGCTGCGAAGAAGGTTATGTCATCCACAGCGGCTTCGAGTTGTTCAGTAGTGCGAAGGTAGGAGGTGGTGGCTGCTGAGAAGCAGGTCGGATCTCGCGCCCAGCTCTGCGCATTCGTTCCGGCCTCGTCATCTCGTAGGTAGGTTCGAAATCCGATCAGATTCCTCAGCACCCCCTGCCCCGCCTCCTTCAGCCGTGTTTGCCCTTCCACAAACTTACGGTACGGAAACATCAACGCAGAGAAGGATCCCATCTTCAAGCAGCTTGAAATCGATTTATCAGCAGAAAGCTCTTTTTCAGTACTTTTAAACTTGTTTTTATTTCCTGGAATTCCAAAAAATCACAAGAGTTTGTGTGCGCTGTCCGAGGCGTCTGGCCAAACAATGGCAGTGTGCACATCAAGCGGCTCCGTGTCGCAGAAGGATCTCTTCTCGCTCTCCGTCCCACCGAGCGACTTGTAGAAGCCTATGGCGCCCGGGACAGACCAAACGATGAAGTTCTTTGGCTGTAGGAGGGCGAGCGTGGCGTCCCACATCATGCGCCATAGCGTCTTGCCGATGCCGCGTCCCTGATACGCAGGAAGGACAAATGCATTCACACACTCGGCTTCGTACTCAACACCTCCGGCGGTGCGGTGGCAGGGGATAGGCTGCTGGCCTCGCGTCCACGCTACCACTCGACCCTCCGCCTCAGCTACCCTGTTCGTACCCAAGACTAAGATGCTGCAAAAGGGACCAACCCAACAGGGGAAGCGTACCAAAAGATTATGGAGGGGTCGCTCAGGCGTGGCAACCAGCGCTCAATTCTTGCAGGAAGCTCGTCAGGCTTCGTTACCGTTTCATCCTCAGAGCCAAGAGCGAGATCCATCACACTCAACAACGCCACCACGTCATCGGGAGTTGCTTGGCGGTAGGTGATGTCGTCCATGTTTCGGGTTTGTTCGAGTGTACTCCCGCGACTGTTAGCTGCAGCCCGCTCTCCCACCGTTTCTTTCTTTCGGGGTTCGTCGGGCAACGCCGACGTTAAAACGGTACACGTGGCGAGCGAGAATGCGGGGTATGTACAGCAGCAACATTGGTCTCATCAAACAAGAGATGTCGAAGATCAAAGCAGTCCTCAACGCGGGCCTATAGAGCGGCTTTCTTCTTGGCGCCAAGCACAAGGGCGAGCTGGCGTGACTGGGCCACGAGCTTGTCGGTGCTGTCCAGAATATCAAAGTCCTCCTCGACGTAGCCATTGATGAGGTGTCGACTCTGTAGGAACACTTTCAGCGGTCCTGTTGAGCGTGAATATCGAGTGAGTGAGGAGCCATCACTATTAACACAATTTGCACAATACATTACCTGCAGCCGGTATCCCTCGAAAGTACACGGTGTATTCGATCGTGGGCACCCATGACTCCGGGAGATCAAGCGTCAGCACGGCAGGAATGGAGCCGTCGGCTAAGGCAAGGAGTTGCGAAGTTAGTAACCAATCGCAGGCGTGGCAAAAATGCTATCTCGTACCGAACAGAGCAAGGCTCTTCACGTCGGGCTTCCGTCCATCCTGAAACTGCATGTACATTCTTCGCTCGCAGTGTTCGCCTTTCTTCGTGGGGGCTGTGAGCGGGTCATAGTGGCTGCGCACATCATCAGTCACCAGTCAACGGGCGACACTCAAGGCTAGCGGGAGCTGTACCCGACGATGCTGCGCGTGATGGTTGTGCTGTACGACACTTTCTCGCACTGGTCAATGGGCGGGAGGGTGGGGTAGAGCGTGTGGCGTGGGTGCTTCTCCCCGCCGAGATCCCGGCTCAGTCCATTTGGCTTGGCCAGGTCTGTGAACATGGCAGTGACCCGCAGTCTCTCCACCGCCACTTCGCTCTGTTGTGGTGGAGAGATGATGAGGCACAACGCTGAGCAACACAGGGTGCATTCACTTTGCACCGGCCACGGACCTCATGTCCGTCCTTTGTGGTTTGCTTCACGAGCTGGTAGAGGATGGCCTCTGCCGATGAGCGACTTCCGCTGGCTGATGCCCCACCACACAAGGTCAGCGCCGTCGCAATCATGAGAGAGAGAGAGAGAGAGAGCTGCGCCATTCGTACATTTGAGCGTCTTCACCTTCACAAACGCTCGACCGGCCGTGGCACCCGAGATGAACCAAGACGAGAGTACGAGCGGGTGTGGGTGCGCCAGCACCTTCTCCAACGCCGAAAGCACGATGCACACCAGATACCCGCCTGGCACCGGAGTTTGGGTGAGCGCTAGAGTGGAAGGGGAGGGAGAGGGGGCACTTGCCATTGGGGTGGTGGCCGCCAGTGTCCCAGTTGGAGGTGACGTGGGCGGCATAGGTGAAAGGCCAGCCGGCTGCCTCGTTCTGGGCATGCTCGTCCGCGTTGGCGGCGACCTGCCGCACCGCGGTGTCCTTGTCGAACATGAACAGCGGGCCACTGAAGCAGGCAGAGTCGGTCATGGTACGTGCGCGAGTTGAGGTGAACTGTTTGTTGGCTGCTCTTGTAGTGGTCGGGGAGGGGAAGTGGCCGGGACCCGCGGGAAGATGACAAAACCTGCCATTGGCCCGGGCGTGCGCCTCTTTTCCCCTGCTGTGCTGGGTTTCTCTACCGCCTCACCCACCGCCGGCACCAGCTCTGGCCGGAGTGGGCAAGATGCGGTCTGGTCTTCATTGTCGACAATATTGAAGCCGACAACCACACTTCTGGTGTTGCGCTTCTGGGCCTTCCGGAAACTCGAACGCTGGCATTCCTGCAACGCCAAAGACGTGTGGGTGGCATCCATCTTGATAATCGCACATCAAGATGGCGTCATTCGCGGACACCCTCTACACTCAGGTGCGTCTCTTCCCTTTTCTTCGCAATGCCCACTAACTTCAAAAAAAACATTTATATTGTAATTAAAACTTGATTTAATTAATCTTTACTGATTGCTGCGGGCCAATGCATGAATGCATTTAGGGCACGCGAGTGTGGGTGCCACAAGGCGTCGATGCCTGGGTGCCAGGTATTGTGGCCGAGGATGAACAGGCAGGTGGAAACGGGCTCGTGAAGGCGGAACTGGTGCTCGAAGAAGAGGACGACAACAACGAGGACGACTTCGAAACCACCTCGGGCAAGGTACCCACTCTCTTGTGCCCTCTTTTTCTGTTATTATTTGTATTTCAGTTTTTATTATTCGTTATTATCGCAAGCAACCACAGGCTGGCCATTTACCATTGTTGTGACCTGTCAACCTGCGATGGCACACTGGTCATTCCAACGTGCAGGTGGTCGAAGTGTCCAAAGCCGGCCTTCTCATCAGGAATCCCAAGGTTCGGAGCAGCTTGCTTGCGCCATAGTCGCAACACACACATTTCTCACATTCCACACGCTCCACACACACACAACGATAGATTCAAGATGGCGTGGACGATCTCACCACGCTCAGTTACATGCACGACCCAGCCATCCTTCACGCGCTTCACTTGCGCTACCGGCTGGACATGATCTATTCCTACGCCGGACCCATCCTCATCGCACGTACGCACCACCCATCACTCCTTCTTTCCTTTCTTTCATTTTTTTTTCCCCCGTCTCCTCACACGCAACGTGGTGCGGTGCAGTGAACCCGTACAAGGATCTGGGCGGTCTGTACAGCAAAGAAATGATGGACGCCTACGTGGGCCAGGCGCAGGGTAATCTCTCGCCGCACGTGTTTGCCATCGCCGAAGAGGCCTTCCGCACGATGCGCATGGATCGCTCGAATCAATCCATCCTCGTTTCCGGCGAGTCTGGTCCGTACCACACTTCACCATATCTTGTTGGCGTGCACGGGCGTATGGCGGTTGGCTGACGTGTACCCCCCCCACAGGTGCCGGAAAGACGGAGACGACCAAGTATGTGCTGCGCTACCTGGCGGCCATGGCGTCGGCCACATCGGGCGTGCGAGGAGGAACCAAAGGCCAGCTGCCTCCGCTCGCTCACAAAGTGCTCGAGTCCACACCCCTGCTCGAGGTACTCGCGCTTCTTCTGCCTCTCGCTCTCGTCGATGCCTCCCCTCTAATGCTCTATTGCCCCCCCCCCGGCACAACAGGCCTTCGGTAACTCGCGCACTCGATTCAACAACAACAGCTCGCGCTTCGGCAAGTTCATCGAGATCTGGTTTTCCAATGAGAGCGGTTCCATCTGCGCCTCGGCACTTCGCACCGTGCGTTTCTTCTCGTTCGCTCGCTCGCTCGCTCTCCGCGCTGCGTGCAATGCTGATGTCTCTCTCTTTCTGGTTATCAGTATCTGTTGGAGAAGTCGCGCGTCGTGCGTCCTCCGGTGGGAGAAAGGAATTTCCACTTCTTTTATCAATTGCTCGCGGGCGCCGATCCTCAACTGGTACAGCCATCTCTGAGAAGAAGAAAAAATCAACGCTTGTTGCTTAAACAGTCTTGCGGTGGTGCTAACCCGGGGTGTCCGGTGGTGTGGGGTGTGTGGGATCGACAGAGAGCGCAACTGAAGCTGAAGAGACCGGAAGAGTACGCCTACCTGGCGGAAAGCGAGTGCTACACGGTGGAGGATGTCGATGATAGTCGCGTATTCAAGCAGACGCTCAATGCCATGCGGGTCATTGGGCTGAACGAGAAGGTCCTCCTTCCTCACACTCATTCCGTCTTTCGCTTTTCCAACCACACGCGCGACCTCACTCGCCTGATCGTTGCCATCACCGTGGCGATCAACAGGAGCAACAAGAAGTGTTCAAAGTGGTCGCGGCGGTATTGCATTTGGGCAACGTGCAGTTCACCGAGGACAGCAAAGAGTCGGCCAATCTCGCCGACGAGAAGGACCCCGATGGTCGCTCCAACGGTACATACCCATCGTTTCCTTGTGATTGTCGGCCGAGAGAAACTCAAACTCCCGGCTCGGGCGTACAGGTCCAACCAACAACGCCTCGCTGAACATTGCGGCGGAGCTGCTGGGCTGCAGCGCCGCTGATTTCGCCAAGTCCATGCGCGAGCGAACTATCACTGCCGGCGGTAAAATCCATTCCCCTTTTTTTAGACCACTCTCTCTCTCTCTCTTGTTGCACCTCTCACCGCGCCTGTCATGGATGATGTTTGAACACGTAAAGGACCCAGCGGACAAGAGCGGTTGACGACGCCTCTGAACAAGGCCAAGGCCGAGCAGTCCCGAGACGCGCTCGCCATGCTTCTCTACTCGTCCCTCTTCGACTGGATCGTGCTCAAGATCAATTCCTCGCTTCACGAGGATTCCTCCGCGTCCACGACGAACAGCTCGTCGTCGGGCTCGTCTTCTTCGTCGGTAGCCGCCTCGCCGCCTTCCCCCCCCCCGCCCCACTGCGCCGTTGACTCACGGTGCAGCGCGCACGGCACAGATCTCGTCCTACTTTGGTCTGGGAGGCAGCGGTGGGAGCGGAGGTGGTGGCATGCGCGTGGGCAAGCTGGCCGCTTCGCGCGAGGCGTCCTTCATCGGCATTCTCGACATCTACGGCTTCGAGAGCTTCGAGACCAACGGCTTTCCTCAGTTCTGCATCAACTACGCCAACGAGAAGCTGCAGCAGCACTTCAACCAACACATCTTCAGTACGCTGGCCAGCCAGTCCCCCATTCACTCACTCAACGCAAACCAATCAACTCCAGCTCAGCCACGATCGACTGAACTGACCGACCTTAACCGCAGAGTTCGAGCAGAAGGAGTACATCAAGGAGAAGATCGACTGGTCCTACATCAACTTTTCCGACAACCAGGCACGCCTCCATGCTCACTTCATTTCACCCGCGCCGCTGATTCGGTGGTGCGGCTGCTGATTCCTGTCGGCGCTGGCAACCACCGACAACAATCAGGGCTGCATCGACCTGCTGGAGAACAAGCCGATGTGTCTCCTGTCGCTGCTGGACGAGGAGTGCCGGTTCCCCAACGGCTCGGACGCGTCATTCGCCGCCAAGGTGCGAAAGACCCACAAGGAGGACGACTTCTTCGCCGTCCCGCGCTTCTCGCAGACCGGATTCACCGTCAAGCACTACGCCGGTACAATTCCCCCGCCCCGCCCCCCGGTTTCCGGGCCTACATTCAGTTCGGCGCTCTCACCTTTTGGGTGCCAGGCGACGTGACCTACGAGACGAAGACCGGCTTCTTGGACCGAAACAAGGACGTGCTCGTACCGGCCCATCCGCTCATTCTGCAGGCCTCGTCCAATCCCTTCGTCAAGGCTCTGCTGTCCGCCAAGCCGGCCGCCCCTTCGACGGGCGCGGGTGGCTCGGCTTCGCCCGTGGTACCCGGACGCCTCCTCGGCGGCTTTGGCTTCGGCAAGGGTACGCATCGTCGCCCATCATGGTATTCAGTCGCGGGCACCACTTCCCAATCGCGACCAACCCCGTCGTCTTCGTTCTCTTTCGCTTTCGTGCGCCGGTTTCAGGTGGTGGATCGGGCACGGCGGCAGCGACGGCCAGGTCGGGCACGGGCGTGGGCAAGTCGTCCTTCCAGTTCGTGGGCGTCATCACCCAGTTCAAGGAGTCGCTCAGCCTCCTCATGGACTCCATCGGCGCCACCCAGGTACTGCCGTCCGCTGCTTTCCTCACCCGCGGGCACACTTTCCTCATTGTTGGTTATGTCGTGCGCGTCGTGCGTAGCCCCATTTCGTGCGGTGCATCAAGCCCAATTTGGAGCAGCGGGCGGACCTCTTCGTGAAGCCCCTGGTGCTCAACCAGCTGCGGTGCGGTGGTGTGATGGAGGCCGTGCGCATCTCCTCCGCCGGATACCCCTCGCGTACCTCCTACGCCAAAATCTACGATCGGTGCGTTGCCACATCATTCCGCTGCAGTCTCCAATCCGCGATTAGGCTCACACACACACACACACACACACACAACACTAACACAGGTACAAGAACTTGGTCAAGCACACGCCGGGGCAGGATGACCGCGAGTCCTGCATGATCCTCTTCGAGGCACTCGGCATCCCGGCCATCGAACGCCAATTCGGTAGCACCAAGCTCTTCCTCAAGTCTGGAATGGTACGTACTATAATTCACATAATAACACAATTACCTCTTTTATTATTACTCTTTTCGATTAATATTACTTCCTTATTCATCATTACTGTTTTGTTTAATAAAAATATATAAATAATTGATTGTTTTTGTGTGCATGATAGATCGCCCACCTGGAGAAAGTGCGCACGATTCGTTTGAATTGGGCCGCAGCCGTCTTCCAAAAGAACTGGCGGCGCATCGTCACCGAGCGGTGGTACGTGGCCACACGGCTCAAGGTCATCCGTGCCCAAGCACGTACGTCTCGCCGCCTCGTCTGCTCCGCTCTCACCACACTCATGTCCTCCATTCTCACTCGTCCCTGTGTGTGTGTGTGATCACTTCCGCAGAGGCCCGTGTATTTCTGGCGAAGCTCGAGAAGGTGCGCCTGAGGAAGAACAGGGCGGCCGTCATTCTTCAGAAGTACGCGCGGGCGTGGCTCGGACGCCGCCAGTACAAGTCCACCGTCCACGCCGCCGTGCTCTTCCAAAGCAGTACGTTCTTTCCCCCACGAGCAAACACCCCACGTGTGTGCTTACACCACACATGACACACACACACACACACACACGACCAATGGTACACAGTCTTCCGCGGAGCCTATGCGAAGAAGAAGGAGGAGGAGCGGTTGCGACGCGAGGAGGAGCAGCGCAGGCGCGAGGCCGAAGAGCGTCGACTGGAGGAGTGCCGGCTGATGAAGGCTGAGGACCACTACAGCCGCGCGATGGCCAAGGAGTGGAAGCGTCAGGCCGAGGAGCAGGAGCGGCTGCGGCAGGAGGAGGCCGAGCGTCAGCGCATCGCCGAAGAGGAGCGCCGGAAGCGCGAGGAGGAGGAGCGCAGGCGTGCCCGGCGCGAGGAGAAGCTGCGCAGGCAGGAGGAGGAGAAGCGCAAGGCGCGCGAGATGGAGCAGAAGATGAAGCAGGAGATCATGAAGGGCGACCAACAGCAGAAGGAGCTCCTCGACCAGCTCAATGAACTCCAGCAGCGGTACGAACACGACATGCGGCTCCCCTATTTTCTTCTTTTTTTTCCCTCACACCCGTGTGTGTGCGTGCGTGCGTGTGTGCGGTGTGTGCGGTATGTGCGTAGGCATGATGCGGAGGTGGAGCAGAAGGACAAGCAGATCAGCAAGCTGGAGCGGAAGCACGAGAAGGAGCTGGCCAACATCACGGCGGCCATGCAGCAGCAGAGCGACGAGTCGGCCGAGCGCGCCCGGCGCGTGCAGGAGGAGATGGCGAGCGAGCTCGAGCGGCTCAACCGCGAGTGGCAGCGCAAGCTCGACGACGTCACCTGGAAGGCCGAGCAGGAGCGCCAGGAGTGGGAGCGCGAGCGGGCCGCCTGGGCCGCCGAGCGCGCCCAGCTCGCCGCCGACGTCGACAAGTGGAAGCGGGCCAACGAGGAGCTCGAGGCCGAGCTCAAGGTCATGGAGGAGCGGCAGAAGGGCATCGTGCTGGAGGCCATGAACAAGCAGGACGAGGAGATCGAGACCATGGCCACCCTCGTGGCCGGCTCGACCGACGAGGGCCGCAAGCGCCTCCTGGGCCTCGTGCTCGCCGAGGAGCGCGGCTTCGTCTCCGGCATGCCCGTGCCCGCCGTGGTTCGTCTGCCTCGCATCCTTAGCTATTGATAGCTGAAGAGTCCAGTGCTGACTGCGTCGTGTGTCGCGTGTGTCGTGTTGCGTGTGCGTGTGTCGTGTGTGTCGTGTGCGTGTGTCGTACACAGGTGTCGTTCAGATTCCTGCGCCACTGGGGCGAGCTGTCGCTCTACCTGTCGGCCAACCAGCAGTCGTACCTGCTGCCCTACACCATCAACAACTTCCGTGCGCTCATTCAGAGCAACCTGCACGACAACTCCCTGTTGGCCTACTTCACCTCCAACATCCTCCTCATGCTCCATCTTCTCCGCAAGGTTCGTGCCACCATCTCGACACACACGACACACGACACACACGACACACACGACACACACGACACACACGACACACACAAGCTGACCATATGTATGTGGGGGGGAGCAGGAACTGGCCCACATTGCGTTCACGAAGACCAAGCGAACGCGCGGCCACGAGCGCAGCTTCTCGTCGCTCTCGTCGTCGCCGCGCCACCGGCGCTCGGTCTCGGTCGCCCGCATCGCCGACGCCGCGCTCGAGGGCAGCGCCAGCAACGATGCCGACGCCGTCGACGCCGACGCCGACGCCTACATCCTCCACCTCCCGCCCCTCGACAACTCCATCGTCAACCCCTACCTCCTCTGGAAGTGCGTACTATCGCCCACGCCCACATGTCTTAAGTTGGTTGCTGACGTCATCAACGCCGCCGCCGCAGCAAACTGGAGGAGGAGAATCTGGTGACGGAGCCGCAGGGCAAGGAGGCCGACGGCGACACGGTCGAGGAGGCCGCGGAGCTGGTGGACGAGGGCCCCACCGAGGGCCTGCCGCCGGTGAAGTGGTTCGAGCGCGAGCTGCGCCGGCTCCTCCGGACGGCGCTGACCCTCATCCACAACAACCTGCGGTCGGCCCTGCGCAACGTCCTGCAGAAGGCCGTCTTCGAGAGTCCCCTCCGGCTCAAGAACCCGCCCCAGGGCAGTCGCCAACGCCGTCCCAGTACCCACTCCCGTTCCCCCACCCTGTGCGGCGTGTGCGATGTGTGCGAGTGCAACGTGTGCGGCGTGTGTGATGTGTGTGCGATGTGTGTGCATTGTGTGCGATGTGCGATGGGGCGCTGATGCTGGGTGGGTGGGTTGCAGGCAAGTCTGTGGATCAGGTGCCCGAGGAGGAAGAGGAGGAGGGGTACATTTCGATCGAGCAGATGACGACGATGATCGACTACTACCAGTCGTCCTCGCCCTTCTCCTCCAAGGACGACAGCCGCGCCAAGGTGTGCTTTTTTTCATTAATTTATTTATATATTTCATATATTTCATATATATTTGTTTCTTTTTAAAATGTATTTGTTATTTATTTCGTTTTATTCTCGTGTTGTGTTGGTCTCAACCGTTGGTTGGTTGGTTGGTGGTGGTGTGCACAGACGGTGAACATGATCAGCGTGATATCGATCCTCAACTACTTCCTGTACGTTCTGCAATCGAACTTCATCGACTTTGCCATCGTCAAGCAGTTCTTCGAGCACACCTTCTCCTTCATCGGTTCGCCTTTCCCCTCCCCTCCCACCCCAATCCACACCCCACAACGCAACTGTAAAGGCTAACTTTTATTTTTACTTTTAATTTTTATTTTGCCTTCTGCGCAGACTCGTTCCTCTTCGACATCCTGCTCCTGAGGAAGGACCTCTGCAGCCGCAACAAGGGATACGAAATCAGGTTCGCGGCACACCACCACCGCACACACGCAACCGCACACGCACCAACACGCACGCGACACAGGTGGCTGACCCGCGGAAAACATATATGTTTACTTTTTATGAAGGGTGAACATGCGCAAGCTGGAGCGGTGGGCCGAGGAGACTGGCGCCGATTGGGTGGGCCGCGCTGGCTCGTGCCTGGGCCACATCCAGCAGGCCACCGGCGTGCTCCTCATGTCCTACGCCGAGAAGCGCCAGCTCTGCACTGATCTCAACACCCGCCGCGCCAAGTACCCCCCCCCGCACGACACACACGACACGCAACACACGACACGACACGACACGACACATACGACACGCAACGCGCGACTCGACACGCGCAGGCTAGCTCACTCGATTCCTCGAACAGGTGTGCGTCGTTGAATGTGTTCCAGATTCGTCAACTGCTGTCGATGTACACGCCCGACGAAGGCGAGGACAAGATCCCGCTCGACCTCATGGCCCGCCTCTACGAAGGCGTCGGCGGCTCGTCCGGCAGCGGCGACCGGTCCGGCCGCCGGAGGCCGCGGCAGCTGCCGCCGCCTGCCGACCAGGGCGCCCTGCTCATCGACTCAGCCGTGGTGGGCGAGGTGAGCATCGCGACGATGCACTACGTCGAGTGCAAGGACGTGCTGGCGCTGCCGTTGCCGCAGACCATCAAGCAGTCCCTGCAGGCCCACGAGAAGGAGAAGGAGGAAGAGCTTCGCAAGCTCCAGCAGCGCGCCGACGAGGACGTCAAGAAGAAGCGACGCCTCCAGAGCCGCAAGTCCATGGTCTTCTGGTAGTCCGCCAGCAGCACAACCACCACTGTTTATTTTAGGCCTTTATTTATTGCGTTTCACGCCTTGATTGTTTAACATGATCAAGCATCCTTTTCCACCATCTCCCCTGCACCCCCGTTGTGGTGGCTGTTGGCACAACGTGGACATCGCGCACGTACCGTACGGTAGGTTGGACGCTTGGTGTAGCGCACTCGCCACTAAGGCCAACGCCTCCTCCACCACGATCGTTACGGGTGGTTGGTTGGTGTGCGGTGTCGGTGTACAAAGCAAAGCAAGCAAGCAAGCAAAGGGAATTGGGGTGTGCACTGTGTCTATCACAGCAATCATGATGATGATGCCTAACAAACAAACACACGCACGGGTACGCGTGCGGTAGTGAATGGACTTTTACACACACCAACCCCACGCCTGACAAGACGAAACGGCACGGCACGGTTCACGAGACGGGCACTCGACAAGGAGCATGCACCACGACGTGAAGAGCACAACGCGTAACCATAACGCCACCACTACGCAGTGCGAACTGAAGAGAAGAAGGAAACGATGAAACATGGATCACGGCGCAGGTGCAGGGAGAGAGCAACCGGGCAGGGGACGGAAGGTGGTACCCTTTAGTAGGGAGCGCCTCGGCTCTTCTTCAGCTGGACCTTGAGCCGCTTCTCGCCCACCTGCAGGCCGTCCATGTTCTCGATGGCCAGACGGGCCGAGTCGGCCGACGCGTAGCTTACAAAACCTGAACGTGGTCAGGGGGGTGAGTGACCATAAGGGGCCGCCGAGAGGAGACATAGACGAGTGGACGTCGTACCGAAGCCCTTGCTGACCATGGTCATCTTGTCGAGGAAGACCTTGACGCTGAGGATTTGGCCGAAGGGTGAGAACAGGGTGAGGAGATCGCCATCGCCGTAGTGCGTGGGCAGGTGGTAGATGAACAGGTTGGCGCCGGGAGGACCTGAAAGCACCAAGGACAACAGGGTTAGACTGTGAAACAGTACAGCTGGCGAACTTGTAAGTTGGAACGCTACGGTACCCTGTGCTTGGTTGCTCATGCCGCTAGGGGCGGGGGTGCCACGGCCCATAGCCATCGACGTCAGCATGTTCATCTGCTGGTAGCCAGACACAAACAACGTTGCCGCCAGGCGAAAGAAACGATCAGTTGGTCGGGTCGAGGCGTCATTGTGAGTAAATAGCGGAAGACTGTGGTGTACGTACGTCTACTCCTCCGCCGTACTGCCCATACTGCTGGGCCATGAGCATTTGGAGCTGCAGCTGCTGAGCCTGGAGCTGAGTGAGTAGAAACACTCCATCAGCACCAAAAGGTGCTTTGCGGGACGAAGCAACAGCGAAGTGGAAGCGTTGGTACCTGAGCCATCATAGCGTCCTGACCTCCCATGCCCATGCCCATGCCCATGCCGCCCATACCCATACCGCCCATGCCGCCTCCGGCATTCCTTCTGCCTCCGTCAGCAAACTTGACAGTCAAGGGATTGGTTTGGCCCTGTTGAGGATGAAGGGAACGAGAGATGAGAACCACTAGAACAGACGGTACCGCTAGTTTCTACGTTGTACCTGGAAGAACATCTGGCCGTTGCAGGCGTTGATAGCGTTCACGGCGTCCTCTCGTCGGTGATACTTGACGAAAGCGCAGCCACGCGAGGAACCGTCGGGCTCGCGCAGAACGACAACCTCGATGATGCTGCCGTAGGGCTGGAAGATGGCCCTCAGGCCATCCTCGCCCACGGTTCTCGGGAGCATGCCGATGAACAGCTTGAACTCGGTCATGTTATCCATACCGGGCATTCCGTAATCGGGCACGGGGGCTGTTGCAAGAATGAGATTAATGATCGGTAATGCAGCATCCAGAATGTACTCAGATTTGTACCAGGGGTGTATCTGGGCGCGTCGCCGCCACCGCCGTGAGCGTACTTGACCTGAATGGGACTAGTCATGCCAGGGAGGGTCTGCTTGTTGTGCAGGGTTTCGATTGCAAGCTCGGCCGAATCGGCATTGTCGTAGGTAACGAACGCGCAGCCTTTATGAACATTTATAAACCGATTAGTGCACTGACGACATTCAATCTTCACTGGAAATTGAGAGCATACCTCGAGATTCGCCGGTGGCGCGATTGCGGATGATGGCAACCTCAACGAGATTACCAAAGGGCGCGAACAGGGGGCCGATGTAGGGCTCGGTCATGCTCTTGGGCAGCTGGCCGATGAACAACTTGACCGCACCAAAGGGCTTGTTCAAGCTAGCCAGCTGCTGATGCTGTTGCTGCTGAAGCTGCATGGCCGCCACGAGGGCGGGATCGGCCGTGTAGGTAATGGGAGCAGCTTCGGAGGTGGCCGAGGTCACCTGCGGCTGAGCAGGTGTCTCTGATGATGGGGTGGGTTGGGGGGGAGCCGAAGAGGGAGCAGATTCCTGAGCAGGTGACTCCTGCGGTTGCTGCTGCTCGGTCGATTCAGCCGGCTGGGGCTCAGCTGAAGTAGGAGCGGTGGTGGCAACCTGCTCGGTGGATTCAGTGGTTGGCTGCTCCATTATGTGATGATGTGATGTGATCGATGCACTTCGATTCTGCGGGTATGAAAAAAACGGGAAAAGGACAGACA